ATGGATATCAGATTCTTTCTCCTCCCCAGCATTTCCCTTTTTTTTTTTTTTTTTTTTGCTATTTTTTGTTTTTATTTTTCATTGTTCTGGGCTGTCTCTGTGCCCTGGATCGGCATGGAGGCCACCGAAGCTCTTTTCTGGTCTTTCTGAGCCTGTGCCTTTCCTTGGGTGTGCACAGTCACTTTCTAATTCTCTGCATACAGGCAGCTGCTTTGGAATGCTCAAGTGGGGGAGAGAGAAGAATGAAGAGGGGAGGTTCCCCAGCCCTTCAGTGCCCCGGGTGTCCCTGCAGCCAGAGGAGGGCTTGTGACGATGGCAGGAGGTGCACTGCCTGCCAGCTGCTTGCTCTGGGACTGTCCCTCTGTGTCAAAAGCAGCAATCAGCGGTCAGAGTGCAGATCCCAGGTGTCTGGGGCAGGGTCCTTTTTGTCCATCTTGGTTTCAGCAAGTTGTAGTAGGTCACTCAGGAACATGTCACAGCTGCTTGCCGCGGGGCTGGCGCAGGAGACAGGCAGCTGCTACTGTGCTAAGTGCAGAAGTTGGCCAAATTTTGCTTCAACTCACCATCCAACCCAGACCGGTGCAAAGCTTCCAAGGACCCCGGAGTTCTGAAAGAGTTGAGTCCTGCAGACTGCCAGGCGGCTGCTGTCTGAGTGGGAGACAGACCCTGGCGCTTCCTGCTCCACCTCTTCTGCCTGGAGTTTTTAACCCCCAGATGGCCCCTGATGAGTCTCTGAACTCATCCGGTGCAGTGCAGGTCCCTTACCCTGGCACTGTTTCCACAACAGCTTGCCCTGGAGGCCCTGTGTGCGCCTGTCTGTCTGCAGTCTTGAGAGTGGCTGTCTGTCCTGTGTCTCACCCCTCCTACAGATCTGAGAAGAGCTGGGCAGGTTTTGTTCTGTTCAGATCTCGACTCGTTTACCACGTGGTGATTTCCAAGCTCCTTACATACAGAACTAGCCAACTTTCCTCCTAAATTTTCAATCATTCACTTGTACTGCTTTGATAATCAGAGTAAGATGTTTTGTTTTCAAAGTAGTCGCAGATTGGGGATGTGGCTCAAGGGTAGAGCACTTGCCTAGCACGAGTGAGGCTGTAGGTTCAATCTCTAGTACTACCAAAAGAAAAAAAAAGTTGTTGTAGAAAACTATTGGCAGGCCACTGCGGTCTGGGGTGGGCCCTAGCGGCCCCTCTACCTCATGTTACCATTCTATCTACCATACTGTAACACACTTTCTCCTTTGATTGCTCATATCTTTAAAATGTTCCCAAACCATCTGTGGAGGAAATGACTTTGTGGTCAATGAGCTGTTTCGGACTCTGGTTGTACCCTTCTGTTGTTTTCCTTTAGAACCTGGAGAGTCTTGTGGCTCAGAACACTACTGGCCCAGTCTTCTACCCGCGACTCTACCACCTGATGGCCTACGTCTGCATTCTGATGGGAGATGGGCAGAACTGCGACCTGTTCCTGAACACAGCCTTGAGGCTCTCGGAAACACAGGGGAACATGCTGGAGAAATGCTGGCTGAACATGAGCAAGGTGTGGACCCCCGCTCGCGGGCTGCAGGGGGCTGCTCTCAGGAAGCCCCACAGGACAGCTTCCCAGTCAGGCTCTCCCCGGCATGGGAGGCCCCCGTCTTGGTCCACTCGGGCTGCTGAGACGACACTGCAGCCTGCACGGCTTAAAACCATAGGAATTTACTGCTCATGGTCTGGGAGCTGCAGGTCCAAGATCAAGGTGCCGGATCTGGTGTCTGCCAGGCCTGTCCTTCACCGACGGTGCCGTCGGCTGCATCCTCACATGGTAGCTGTGTGGGGGGAAGCTTGGCTCCCTCCTGCCCTGTCTAAGGGCTCTAATTCCAACCAGGAGGGCAGGGCCTTCACGGCCTCATCCTCCCAAGGACCCTGCTCCCCAACGCCATCGCCTGGGGTGAAGTTCCAACATAGGGATTGGGCCCTACTGCCCTTCCACCCCCGTGGCCATCCAGCCTGTCTGGGATCCCACACAAAGGGGCTGCATGTCCGTGGATCAGGCTTGTGACCTCCTTTTCCCCTTATGTCCCTGTGGACTCTCCCTCACGCAAATCCTGCTAGCATGGCTCCACCCTGTCTTCCTTCCCTCTTCCCCTCTGCGTTACATTCGTTTCCCGACTTGTGAATGTTGAATGTTGCATGTTGCTTTGTTCCAAAGCAAAAACCTAGTTAGTACCTCGCCTTAAATTTGGTGCTGTTGGGTAGGGGAATGAATTGTGTGTGTGTGTGTGTGTG